CAAGTTTTGGCATCTTTGGCCAAAATGGAGATTCAAGTATTGCCCCCGAAACGCAAACTTTGCGGCCCACAACTTAGCATCTTGGGCATCCGCCTCTAAATGGAGTGGTTTTACTTTTGAAGATTGTATTCCTATTTCTTGCTTTTGTGACATTGGTTATCCTCTTGTAGACTATTTGGTTCCTTCTTAATATATTTATTTTTCTTATCAAAATATATATATATATATATATATATATATATATATATATATATATATATCCGCGTTTTTTTGAAAAAATACACTTTGCATCCCTCAAGTTTGCACCGATTCACATTTGGTCCCTCATGTTAAACAAATTTAACAGTTTTGGTCTTTTCCGTCAATTTACCGTTAGTCCGTTAATTAAGGCAGAGATGGGTACGCACTTGATTCCGTTAGTTTTAACCGAAAATTGACAGCAAGGACTACTAAACGTGTTGAAGTTTCGAAACATAATGTACGAAGTGTGAAATCGGTGCAAACTTGAAAGAGAACAACTGTATTTTTCACAAAAAGTCAATGAAGAAGACGTGTTAAATCATGTTGCACTAAATAATAGTTAATGATTTGAAAAGATTCCATCATAACGTTTCCTCACACGGCACACCTACTACAAAGACATCTCACTGACTTCCTAATTTTTGTAGCTATGTAGATTAGTACTGCTTTTATTTTAGGGGCCTATTGGAAAAGATACGTTTTACTTGTTTTGTTTCTTCAGTCGTCTTCCATTTTCCATCCTAATTTAAGCGTCGGACGGTCTTCCACTAGGCTCAACTCTTGTGTACGCTTTTCCGGCGACGACGAGGAGATCGACGTGCTTAGGAAGAAGTCTTGGACAAATTTTGCACAACCACCATACTATTTAGAACTTATTTTTCTTTTTATTGAAGTACGTATTTATTTTTTGAAATTAGAATTTAACAAGGCTATACGTATGGAGACACTAATCATAATATGCGTGCTCTTTAATTAGAGGTTATTGTTTTCCAAAATGCTTTTGCTTGTGCATGTTCTTTTAAATAATAATAATAATAATAATAATAATAATAATAATAATAATAATAATAATAATAATAATAATAATAATAATAATAATAATAATAATAATAATAATAATAATAATAATAATAATCATAATAATAATAATAATAATAATAATAATAATAATAATAACAATAACAATAATAATAATAATAATAATAATAATAATAATAATAATAATAATAATAATAATAATAATAATAATAATAATAATAATAATAATACGGATAGACCAATAAAAAATTATATAAATATAAACAAAAAAATACAAAACAAATAAAAACTTGTAATGTCACAAGATATGTTTAATTCTTTTTTTATATATATATTTTCTATCTTTAATAATTATATTTTGAAGAAATACATTAAGTTTTTAAAATACAAAACAATTACGAATTTTTAAATATATTACAAATTATCCCCTAAGTAATTAGCATGCTTGCAATTACCCAACAAGGGCAAAAATGACATTGACTGATGAATATTTCATGCAATCAAAAAATATATCGTCAAAAGTAACACCGTAGGGGGCTGTGTAAGACGACAACATAACTCAGGGTTTTTTCGTGATTACGCAAACACGAGGGGAATTTTCATCATTAGACCTTACACTAGGGGTCTCTCGTAATTTTTCCTATTTTTAAAACCTACCTCTAACCATCTTTTTATTTAAAATCTTATAATGAGTTAAAATAACATATAAACTCATTATCGAAACACAATACAATGTAACAAATTATTAACTATTAAAACATCTTATGACACGTAAAAGCTTATTAGTTGTTTAAAATAAGTTTAGTCAAATGGGTCATTAGTTCTGATTATACTTTTTTGTTGCAAATATTATATAAATCTTTTTTATTTTTTATTTGATTCATTTTTTTAAACATTATGTAGCCTCTCCATCTAAAAAATCTTGTAGCTAAGGATTTGATTTATTTTTAAAATTTATGGATTAATCGTTGTTGCTATATAACACATATAGATATTTTATTTATGGGATTATTTCACAAAAGTCCTCCATTAGACAAGTCCAGTTACACTAGGTCAAAAAAAAATTCTCAATTTTAAGATAAATCCAAAACATATTTTATTAATTAAAAAAAGTTAAGTTTAACCATTATAGCCCTTTAATTATTTATTCAACCCTAATTTTTTTGCCTACAATAATCACCCCCTTTGACTCAAAAAAAAAAAAAAAATCACGGGAAGAACAGAGAGGGAAGAGGAAAGACATCAGAGAAGCAGAATGTTCGGCCCAAGGGGTTGCGTTTTCTTAGATACCAGCACTATCAGCACAAATGGTAGCACCACCACCGCCACCACCACCACGGAGGTTTTTTTTCTTACAATCTTTTTCCTCGTTCTGTTTTTTTTCTTTTTTGGTATTTACCACAAATTCGTTCTGATTTTCAGTTTTTTGGTTTGGGCACTGTTATCTGCCACTGATCGGCGGTATTACTTACAAATATACCGCTGGCACTCACAAATATACGCCGGTATTACCCTAATTTTGTTTAATTTTTGCTTCTCTCAAATATACGCCGCTTCTAGTCTCTTTCTCCCTCATGCGAGATCTGAGGAATTATTCGGCAACAAACCGCTGGTACTCACAAACTTTCCCTCTGCACGCCGTTTCTTTTTAATCCATCGCCACCGCATCACCGTCTTGCGTTTATTGCCTCGTAAGATCTGATTTTTTCAAATATGAAGCCAACGAATACCTACATCGGAGGTAATCTCATACAATTAATTGTGTAGTTAATAGTTTTACAATAAAAAAAAAAACGAGCATTCTGAATTTTATTAAAACTCGGCAAATTTTCTGAGTTGCTTTCATATTTGAAATTAATGATTTTGATAATATATTACTGTAATTATTCGAGTCAAGATAATTAGTGATTTTAATAATACATTACTGTAATTACCAATCCCAAGATAGTGTGTTATATGGACATGCACAGTAGTACTTTACACAGGTGTAATTGTATGCATATGTTGTTTTTCTGGATCTTACAATAAAATTTATGGAATTGATCAATAATATATTTTGGCACATAAAAACCTCAGTGACCACATTTCCATATCCAAGTTTTGTGATCCATCTAGCAGTTGTAGATTTAAAATTACTTGTGGATTTAAAACCACTTGTGGATTTTAATACGAATTTTTAATTCGACGTTTATATAGTTGTATATACAGAGTGGTTTTCATGTTTATATAGTTGTTTATACATAGTGGTTTTCATGTTAATATAATTGTGTGTAAAGAGTGGTTTTCATGTTTTTATAGTTGTTTTATACAAAGTGGTTTTCATGTTTATATAGCGGTTTATACAGAGTGATTTTCAAAACGTTTCAAATAACGAGAAGAAGATGATTACACGGACTATGCTCTACGGTTCATTGGAGAGAAGATGGTGTCCCTTATAGTGGTTTTATAGCTTCTTTTTCGCAGATTTTTTGATCTTTTTTTGTTAGAATTCATAGTGATTTTCGATGTTTATATACTTGTCTATATAAAGTAGTTTTCATGTTTATATAGTTGTTTTATACATAGTGGTTTTCATGTTTATATAGTTGTTTATACGGAGTGGTTTTTATAATGTCAGGCTTTGTCTTTGATAAATTTATAGTGGTTTTAAACATTTTTATAGTGATTTTCAATAATTTTTGTACAGATTTTTATTTAACTGTATATACAGAGTTGTTTTTAAGTTGACATAGTTATTATAAAGAGTGGTTTTCAAGTTTACATAGTTGTTATACAAAGTATTTTTCATGTTATATAGTTGTTATAGTGGTTTTCATGTTTATAGAGTGGTTTTCATGTTTATATATAGTAGTTTTTATTTAAAAAAACTGGAAAGTAAATAAAAAAATCCATTTTAAAAAAACTTTGAAATTAAAAAAAAAACATGAAAAAACGAAAATAAAAATAAAACCATTTTTAAAATTAAAATAAAAAACATGAAAAATATAAATAAGAAAAAAAATAATTTAAAATAAACAACCGAAAAAAAAATAATAATATAATTACAAAATTTTATTTTAAATGGAAATAAAGAAAACCATTAAACAAAATAAAAAAGAAAAGGGAAAAAAAACTGAATTAACGTGATGAGGTGAATAATTTTAGGAGAAGATTTGGGTGTAGATTATGGGTGTAATTTTTTTTAAATTAAATAATTATACTAATTAATAGTTAGTGGGGGCATATATGGGTTTTTAAACCCATTGGATTTATCTCAAATATCATTTAAAAAAAAGGATTTATCAAGAATTAAATTCCCAATGAAGGGTGTTTGGCATATTCCCCCTTTATTTATTTTGTCATTAAGGGCAAATGACAATAAGGGACATGGCAAGAGACTTAAATGCACATTGGTAAAAAAAAATAAAAAATTCAAATAAATCCATCTGTATGTCTTTAGTCTAAAATACCCTTCATAATATAATTCTTACAAATTACATCAATTACGAACTTCCTTAATATTACACATTGACCTCGGATTTAAACAAATATATCACATTAACCGCATTTTAATAATTTTTTGAAAAAATATTTTTTTTTTCAGAAAATAATTTTTTTTCTTATTTTTTTTTCCGGCCATATTCCGGCAATGATTGCCGGTCTCCAGCGTTGACTTTTTTTTTTTTGAAAACTTTCTTTTTTCTGATTTTTTTTTCCGGCCGGTCAACCGTCGTTGACCGCCGGTCTCCAACGTTGACTTTTCTTTTTTATTTTCTTTTTCTTAAAAGAAAAATATTTTAATTACTACTAAATTATAGTCTCAAACAATAATATTATATATATCTATCCTACAAAATATGTGCTTGAACCTTTGAGCGAATAAAAGCACCATTTTTAAAGAGAGTGAAGTTATAATTCCTAACACTTGCAACCTAAATCCGCAGTAGACTTCTCTGAAGAAGATGAAGGGTTCTGGAATAGCTCTGATTCGTAGAGCAATAGCTGCTAAATCTTCTCTTGATCACTTCTCTTTCTTTTCTTCAAATATTCATACGGATAGACGATTTTTGGCGAAGCCCAGAATCAATCTGAGTTGTGTAAATGTAGTAGACGATGCTGTTTTCTTGTTTCGTAAGATGTTGAGATTGCGGCCGAAGCCTTCAGCCGTTGAATTCAATAAACTACTGCAAGTTGTTGTCAAGATGAGAGAATTCAGGGCTGCCCTCTACGTGTTCGGCGAAATGCGCCAATGGGGTGCATCTGTGGATGAGTACACGATGAACATCTTGGTTAACTGTTGTTGCCTTTCGAAACGTGTAGACATTGGTTTTGCTGTCTTTGGCAGCTTCTTTAAACACGGTTACGAGGCAGATGTTACGACATTCACCACTCTCTTAAAAGGTCTCTTTTTAGATGGTAATGTGGCCGAGGCAGAGAAATTGTTCAAGAAGATCTTGGCTTTGAAACTTTGTGAGCCGAATGATGTTACGATTCTTACTGCGATAGATGGGCTCTGCAAAGCTGGACATGTGCTTACTGCCCATGATTTGCTTCGGTTATTGGAAAAGACTATCTATAAACCCGATGTTAAGGCTTATAGTGCAGTAATTGATGGCTTATGCAAGGGCCGAATGGTGGATAATGCACTCGAGTTGAAGTCTAGAATGATTGATAAGGGCGTTTCACCGACCGTTGTCACATATAGCTCGATGATTCAGGGCTTGTGCGATTTTGGTAGATGGAAAGAGGTTAAAGACTTATTGAATGAAATGGTCAATCACAAGATCTCGTTAGATGTTGTTACTTTTAATGTATTGGTTGACGCATTTTGCAAAGAAGGAAATGTTAAAGAGGCTGAGGATGTTTTGGAAATTATGAAGCAACAAAATATTTGTCCTAATATTTTCACTTACACTGCACTGATAGATGGATATTGTTTGCAAGGGAAAATGGATAAAGCGAAAGAGGTGTTTGATTCCATAACGCGCAACGGCCTTAAGCCATGTATTAGGAGTTACGGCACTCTAATAAACGGATACTGCAAGAAGGGAAAAGTTGATGAAGCTCGGCGTCTTTTTCTGGAAGCTTCTTCCATAGGCTTAGAGCACACGACAGTTACATATAGCATCATGATACACGGATTATTTAGTGAAGGTAGAAATGCTGATGGATGGAAACTTTATAAGGATATGGAAGCTCGGCACGTACGTCCAGATTTATATACTTGCAATATTTTGTTGGATAGCTTGTGCAAGACACAACAGATTGCTGACGCGTTTTTATTTCTACGGGCGATGGAAGACAAAGGGTTAAACCCTAATAATACAGTCACATATGGTATCCTGATTAACGGTTTGTGCAAAGATGGTAAAATTGAAGAGGCAAAAAAGCTTTTAAACGAACTTCCTTCCAAAGGGTTGAAACCTACGAACCGCATATATTCTGTCATTATTCGTGCCCTTTGTGAAGAAGGGTTTCTAGACGAGGCAAAAGACTTGCTTATAAAAATGGAGAGAAGTTGCGCACCGGATAGCATGACATACAACATCATTATCCATTGCTTGCTGAAGAAGAAAGAGGTTTACAAGGCAATGCCATTCTTAGAGGACATGCACAAAAGGGGACTTTCAGCCGATGCAGCTACTTCTTCCATGTTAATTAGTCTCTTGCAAGGATCAAACGAAGATGATGTTCTTCTCGAAATGATTAAGAAAGTTGTACCGAAAATATAAAATAACATACACTTGCAAGATAATTTTATCTTGAAAAACAAAACAAAATGTCAAGAAAATGAATAATGAATGGTCATGGTCAAAATTATGGGATTAAGTTAGATATACCATAATCTGTGAAACTTATCACTCATAATATAAAACGTTTCATATGATAAAAAAAAATAGATTAATCTTCTTTTACTTTGTTTATTCATGTTTCCAAGTTTTACTAATAATTTGCACAAAATCGTTTAGGGTTTCTTCCGATATGGCTTCAATCGTAGATTATTCGATAAACATGAGTTGTTCGTGTAAATTCTTCATTTCTTTTGCTACAAATTTTTCAAGTGTGTACATTATAGGGTAAAATTAATTTTGCACCCTTGTACTATGCGAAAGGTATAATTTACCCCCTGATGTATATAAAACATCAAACGCCCCCTATTTTTTACGGTCAATAGTCAAACTTTTAACGGTGTTATTTGAGCATGAAATGACTCTTTTACCCTGCTTTATGTATGATATAATCCCTAATTTTTGAAGGTTTATTTTTCTGGATTGTTAACGATTTTTAGCATTAATTTAAATTAGGATTTTTTGTCGATTTTAGTGTTTGATTTTTAGGGGTTTCCATTTTATTTTTCGGGGGGTTTTGCCATAATAATATGAATTTCATTTGCAATTCTTTCATAAGGTTTTATTTCAATTTTAGGGTTTCTTTTAGATTTCAGGTGTTTTCACTTTTCTTTTTTGTGGGTTTTGCATTCATGATCCGCAAAGCTTCACTCCTATTTATTTGACTTTTCAGTTATTTTATGCATAAAGAAAAAAAAGGACCGAAAAGAGCGATGTGAAAATGACCAAAACTAAGGAACCTAGACATGGCCACGGGCCGGGTCTGACCCGGACCTGCCCCGGACCCGACCCGGTGACCGCCCCGCCCCGCCCCGTTAACCATGGACCCGGACCCGGACCCGGAAATGTATGGGTCGGTTTCGGGTCCCGATATTTTGGACCCGAGACCCGACGGGTCCACCGACGGGTGGACCCGAGGACCCGGACCTGAGGACTCGACCCGACTACCCATCGGGTCCACCTGAATAATTTTTTTTTTTTTTTCAAATTTTGAAAATGAAACGGCTATAAACCGGACCCGAACCGGATCCGACCCGGATCCGGCCCGGACCCGGTCTGAGCATTCAATTTTTTTTTTTTTTTAAATTATAATGGCTAGAAACTCGGGTCCACCCGGAACCGACCCGGACCCGACCCGGACCCGACCCGGACCCGACCCGAAAATTCAAATGTTTTATTTTTTATTTTAAATTTCAACGGCTAGAAACTCGGGTCCACCCGGACCCGACCCGAAAATAATAAAATTAAATTAAAAAAAAAAATCAAGAACCGGTTTTGGACCCGGACCCAGTCCGGACCCGGAAGGACTCGAGTGGACCCGACCCGGACCCGGACTCGCCTCCACGCGGGTCGGTTTCGGGTCCCGAAAAAGTAGGACCCGGACCTGGCGGGTCCGACCCGACCCGGCCCGTGGCCATGTCTAAAGGAACCTATATATATAGATTTTTTTGGGATATTTTCGTCAAAAGAAAGTCCACAACTCTTAGCAACACCCATGTACTATGTACTTTGTATTATATAGCTCCTGCTGTTACCTTTTTTTTCCAAAATCTGATGAAAATACCCCTACTAAAGCCTATAAATATGAAGGTTTGTTTGAGCCATTTTTCACTATATATATTTTAACATTTTCGGTCAATTTTACCTGGGAAAGTTTGGTATTTTTATTTCTTTTCGACAAAACATCTAATTGCCTAGATTTTTTTTTTTCATTTTCTGAATAAAACCTTTTATTGTTGTCAATTTGAATTTCTTTGTTTTTTTTCTTAAATATCTTTCGGTAGTTCAAATTTTCAACAATCATAGGAT